CCTGCGCCATTGGCCGCGCTTCACTTCCGCGAAATAGCATCGGCGCCATAGTGCTGTTCAATAATCAGGCTCGGTCAGGGCGCGACTTGCCGGTTAACTCTTGCATATGAGCCCCAGATGCCGCCGACGCTTTCCGGACGCGGTTGTCGAGCTCGCACCCGGGTGCTTTATTGCGCGATGCAAGGCGGCCCAAATACTTTACCGACGACGCCCGTGAAAGTATTTCGATTTCCACGTCGACAGTGCGCACCGTTGCGGCGGCGTGCGTCCCTGACTTCTTCGCGGCATGTGTGGATACGTTGGTTTTTTATCTGGATGCAAGGATGAACCCGCTGATGCTGTACCCTGCTTGATGTCGTAGACCATCTGCTTTATATGGTGCAACGCGTTCGCCACGGCAAGCACGTCAGCTGCAACATGTAAACTGGTCAGCGCGGTCCCGTCCAAAGGGTCCAACTGCAAACCGTATTTACGATTGAGCAAATTCTCTTTGCACGGTCTAATACAAGTCTCAAGTAACGCATTGATTCATCAAGATGACACCGGGTCGCCCTGTTTTGTCCCACGGTGAATGTTGAGCTTCTTGCTGAGCACGCATGTTCGCGCTTGTCCGAGCTGGTCCGTGTCTAAAGAACGAAGAAGCCCAACATATGGTTCAGGGACGTTTTAGCCTCGAACAAATTCCTGTAAAAACTTGCGCTCGACAGTATCGAACGCCTTCCGGAAATCCAATGCGAAATGCCCAACTGTCTGCTGGAATACGTCTGCCTTCTCTAACAAAGTATTCAATTGCAGAAAAAGCTCTTCGGAAACCTGCCTGGTCGCACAAGTGCTCCGGGCCCAAGTACTACTCCACCCGTTGACAAATAATACGCGCAAACATCTTAGAGTATCGGCAGTGTGGCAATAGGCCTGTAACGTGATGGATGTCTGGGGCCCCCGTCTTTGAACAGCACTTTCAATGCGGTGTTTTTTTTCCACCGCGCTGATGTCGGAGCGCCAGGCTTGAGGATTGCATTGTACATGTCTAGAACAGCGCGTCGTACAGCTTCGCCACCAAACTTCAACATGTCCGCAACTGTCCCTGTAGAGTCAGGTGATGTGCCCGTCTTGAGACGTTTCAAAACTGCGCCAATATTTTCGTTGTTGAACGCCAGAATGCATTCATCAGCGCGATCATCCAGCTCTGGAATTTGATCATATAGCACTCGCGAAGAAGCACAGAAACCAGCAAACAATTCAAATAAAGCGTTCGCAATATCTTTGCGGTTGGTGCGTTCCGTCCCACTCCTGTCTAGCAGATTGGTCATCGTCGTTCGTCCCCTCCGTGAGTTTGTCGCCTTGACCTGCTTCAGCCCGGAAAAGCAAGCAAGCAAGATAGCCCATCATCATGCGAAACGCGTGGGCTGGTAGGCCAGGGCGCCCGTGGTTCCTGCCAAATTTCGCATGGGACAACTCACCGCCGACAGCAGCTGCGTCGGCACCGCCGCGGGCTGGACTAAACAGTTGGGCAGGAGGAGACGGAGGAGGAGGAGGACGAGGAGGACGTGAAATCAGCAGCAACATGTGATTGCGCTCAAACCGTTATATGCCATTCCGTTGCCCACTGCTGTCTGGGGCGGCTTCGTCGCCTCTTGGCTGCCCAGTTTCGCGGGGTGCCGTCGGGGTTGCATAGAACCTCCCTGACCATGTAAAGAAGCGTCGCTGCTGTTCGCAATGTTACCGTACAGGGCGACTTGCCTAGAAGCCAGAACATTCGAAAGTGGCTGCGACGACGCTCGTCTCATGACCTCCTCGCTGCTGACTCTTAACACGTACGAGCATGGGATGCCTAAGATGCATCTCGGGCTTCTGCAATGAAAAGCGTCCAACCGAGCCTTTTTCAGCCCGGAGAATGTACCCAAGATATGTTTGATGCCACCTCTACGCTCCTCCACTTTGCTTGTCTTTTTTTTCCTCCTCCTCCTCCCCCACAGACAGCTGAATGAAAGGATCCGCCGTGTCCTCCAGGGGCCTCTTCCCCAGCCTAGGCGCAGACCAGAGGGACAGTCTCCCTCACGGCGGCCAGTAAAGAGAAAAACACACTGCCGACGCTGCCACGCATGTTGGATTGAAACTCTAACCATGGAGCCGCCTCCACCACGGTGGTCTGCACACAAATGCTGAGAAGGTCGAGTGAAAAGATCCGCCGTCCCCTCCAGGGGCCCCTTCACAAGCCCAAGCGGTTCGGCCCCGACAACCGACACCCTGACGGCAGAATCGCAGAGCCGCCACCTCCACCACGGCGGTCGGGGCAATGAAAGCTACGACCCTGGCGACGCTGGGTCAAAGAGCCAGCTACATAAGAGCAGCGATGACGAGGACGAGGAGGAAGGGGACGAGGAGGAGCAGCGATGACGAGGACGAGGAGGAAGGGGACGAGGAGGGGCAGCGCGGTCGCCCAAACTGGTCGGCAGGCCGACGGCGGGCTGCTGGGAGGGGAGGCGCGGAAATGAGGCACGGGCAGACAGATGTGCGGACAGAGCTGCCCGGCAGTGTAAGCAGACCATGGCGTTGTGCGTACGCTCCCCAGGGTTCCAATGACCATTTCTATAAGAGCAGACACAACGACGATCATCAAGGCGATCGGAACTTAGCCCTGGTTCCGATCCTGCAGTATGGGGTTCGAAGTTGGGCGCACGCGCTCTCCAACAGCAGCTACAAGAGATGAGGGTGGGCACAGCGGTGCCCGGCCGGGCGCGAAGCACCAACGCAGCGGCTGGAGGGCAAGCCCGGGCTGGTGAGGCAGCCCGAGGTCGGCCGGCAGCGGCCGCAAGATCGCCAGCGCGCCTTGCCATTGCAACCCGTGGCACGCAGACCACGAATTCGGAGCAGGGGGAAGAGAGGGGAGGAAGAGGAAGGGGGAGGACGGAGGGGAGGAGGAACGCTCCTGCAGAGCGACGCGCAACCTATCGCACCCTACAACCGGCTGTAGGCAGCCCGCTCTGAGGGCCGGGTGATACGACGTGCACGGGGGGAGCGAGGAAGAGGCAGGCCGAGGAGGCGAAGTGCTGGCCCACCCCGGAGGGGTTAGCTGGAGCTCCGCCTCCGGGAGGCCAGCGCGGGAGGAAGGGAAGGAAGGAGGGCGCGGGGGATTCGCAGGCGTGGCCCCGAGCCGTCCCAGGCCGACACGATATCGGCCACGCGGGCGGGACAACACACGCGACGGAATTGTCACGAAATTCGGCGTCCAGAATCAGCACAGGCGGGGTGCAATTCAAGACTCAAATGCTGCGTCGCCCGGCCCTGCTCTGGGGGGCCAAAAACAAGGCCTGCACACCCGCCGCTCCATTGGGCACAAAGGCCAGATCCGTCGTAACGGCGTCCGGCGCCCAGAACGCACGAAGAGCGCCCCGGGCCCTCCGCGGCCTCGCACTGTCCAGCTGGCCTGGACGGACGCACGCGCTGTGGCACCACGATTCGGGGGAGAGAAACGGGAAGGCGGGGGACGAGGACGAGGAGAGAGGAGAGGAAGAGGGGAATGCACGCTCGAAGAGTCCCGGGCCCACTACGGCCTCGCATCGTCCAGCCAGCCTGGGCGGACACACGCTGTGGCTTCACGATTCGGGGGGGGGAGGCGGGAAGGGGGAGGACGAGGACAAGGAGGACGAGGGAAGGAAGAGAAACGCTCCGCATACAAAAATGCAGATCGAGAGCCCAAAAAACGACGAGCTGGCATCCCCCGAATCAGGGCGACACGCCGGCGTCCACCCCCGGGGGGCGAGAAATCTCGCGAACAGCTTCGGCTCTGGCCGAGTCCGGGGCAGACGCCCTCCCACGAGCCATCGGCCACGCGACCGGGACAGCTACAGGCCTGGCGGCCTCGACTGGCAGAGTGGCGCCACGCGCTCAGTTCCGGCCGTGCGCAGCATCGTATGATATGCGCGTCGCGGCGCGGTGGCCCCGCACCACCTCACGGAGTGATTGCCCGAGCGCTTCTCGAGCAGCAGGGCCCCTGCTGACCCGGCCATGGCGGCAGAGGCAGGGTGCGGTACCCAGACCCCCGACGTCATGATTTTTTCATGACGCGACCCCAGAGGTCCCGACCCCTTCCCCGGGACCGGTTTTTCGTCCTGAGTCGTTTTTTGACGGTCCCGAGGCCTGGTGAGGGCCCCCAGAGGCCGAAAATGGCGAAAAACATCCCGTCATGAT